ATGGATACTATGTACTCACCACTAAGCCTAAAAGGCCTAGCTGGCTGTGTGTTCCTTCCCAAAAGCTTTCCCTCAGAAGGTAAATGATATCCTAAGTTTTTTTGTAGCAGTTTTTTACATTTTTTATTGTTTCTTTTTTGGGTTATATATAACAGTAGGATTCATGTTGACATAATTTTAAAAGCATGGGATATAATTTGCTCAAATTCAGTCCTCAGTATTTCTCCTGTCCCCCGTCTCCCTGTTCCTTTTTCTCTGCTCTACTGATCTGTGTGCTGTTTACTTTCAGATCTTTTTTTCTTTTTGGTTAGTATCTTGTGGATATAGATGATATGAGATTCACTGAGGTGTATTCCTGTATGAACATAGGAAAGTTAGGTTAGATTGATTCCTCTTTTTCTCTTATCCGACTCTTTTCCTTCCCCCTTAGTTCCATTCATTTAGCCTGTTGGTCTTCCTGCTTTTTTGACAGACTCCCCTCCTTCTTTTTTCCCTTTCCCATTCTTTCTCTTTTTCCTTCCTATTTTGGACTAATTTCCACATATCAGAAAAAATATTTGACCTTTGGCTTTCTGAATGTGGCTTGTTTCACTTAGCATTATGGTGTCCAGTTCCATGCATTTATCAGCAAATGCCATGATTTCATTCTTCTTTATGGCTGAGTCATACTCCATTGTGTATATGTACCACATTTCTTTATCCATTCATCTGTTGAAGGTTGGACATAGCTTGGGTATTGTTAATTGTGCTGCTAAACATTGATGTGGCTGCGTCACTAGAATATGCTGATTTTAGATCTTTTGTATATATACTGAGGCGTGGGATAGCTGGGTCATCTGGTAATTCCACTCTTACTAGTTTTTTGAGAAATCTCCATACTGCTTTCCAGAGTGGTTGCACCAATTTGCAGTTCCACCAGCAAAGTATGAGTGTACCTTTTCCCCACATCCCTTGCCAACACTTATTATTATTTGAATTCTTGATAATTGCCATTCTGACTGGAGTGAGATGAAATCTTAATGTAGTTTTGTTTTGCATTTTCCTGATTGCTAGAGATGTTAAACACTTTTTCATATATTTGTTGGCCAACTGTAATTTCTTCTTTTGACCAGTGTATGATTAGTCTTTCCCATTTATTCAATTGGGGTTTTCTTTCTTTCTTTCTTCTTTTTTTTTTTTTAGAGTTAAGTTTTTTGAGTTCTTTATATGCCCTGAGGAACAGGTGGCAGAGATTCTCTCCCATTCTGTAGGGTGTCTCTTCATGTTCTTAACAATTTATCTGTTTTTTGAACTATTTTTATTCTGTTTTTGTTCTTAAATAACGTATTATTTAGTTTTGCCTTTGGGCTTCATTAACTTTTAAGCAACCTTATAGAACCAAGAAATGTTTTCCCTTGTAGGAAAGTTAGTTGGTCTGGCAAGCATTCCTCTGCTTCTGGGAGCAGAAAGGGAGGAGTTAGCAAATGTATTGTTCATGCGCTGTTTTGTCAGGGCCAGCAGGTGGCAGTAAGGTGACTTAGTGGAGAAGGTTTTTGCAAATGAAGAGATTGGAGAGCAGTTAATTTTGTCAAATTAGATATAAGAGTCTAGAGTTTGTGGATTTATAAGTTCCATATCCAAATAGACTCAAGGTAAAATAAATACCCTGTCTACCCGTGCTTAGCTTTCATAAATTAAGTTTTTATAACACTTATAGCATGAATTTTAAACTGTAATTTAAAATGGCATCAGGAGATTCTAACAGAAGAGGGCCTTGGCTGAGAGAAAGTTGCTATGACCTGGGTCCACTACTGACCTGGTGTCACCTAGGTGAGAAATTGGAGCTCCATCTTGCAAATGCAAAGGATTGTTCAGTAACCTGAATAGCATAATTTACAGGTTCATGATTATTCTAGTCTTAAATGAGTGCTGACATATTTAGAAGTGTGATTTAATTGCTGTGTAAAGTTTTGTTGCTGACTTGTTTTCTTCTCCTCCTACAGCAACACCTTACGAGTTACGCGTTCCGCTGCCCCCAGCACGCTGGATAATTCCAGCACCGTCCCTGTTCAGCTGGGAAAGAAAGGCAAAGAGTTTGAATTCTCACAGTTGCCCCTCAAAGTGGAGTTCCTTGAGTGCAGTGCCAAGGGCGGAAGAGGAGACACTGGCTCTGCTGACATCCAGGACTTGGAGAAATGGCTGGCGAAAATCGCCTGAGCGTATATCTGAAGCACAGCCATGGTTGTCTGTGGGTGACTGGCAGTTTTGGAGAAAGGGTAGTCTGGCATTGATAAAGAAGGGGCACAAGATGTGGTTAGAAAATTTTCTTTATTTTGGAAACAAATTACTGTTGGCACCAGCTTAGATTTTTTGTTTAAATTTAGTTCTCCCGTATTTCTCCCGTTCAAAGGAGTCACCTCTGTTTGGCTCATCTTCCCTCTGTTAAGGTGTGTGTAACTTCCCTTTAGTGTGTTCTTGATTTAGATTGAGGTCTATGTGACATCACAGTTCACATAGAGAGGACATTATCATGAGACTCTGGTTATCTGAAAACTCTTATCCTCTGCCTCTGTGCTTTGGTTCCTTTTTCTTGGAAACAGACCTGCCTGTGTATGAAACTAGCTGATTTCCAGTCACCTCTGACATTCACGGACTGTGCACTGTCTAGTCCTCTGTGTTCCCAGCTTTGCAGATGCAGTTGTGGTCGTTGCCCCACATGAAGACTGCAAGGCTGAGTGGGCAGTGGGTATGTTCTCGGTCAGCTCAGTGACTTGTCATACTCCAGCCTCAGCATTTTGGTTTTAAAATCTCATCAGTCTTTCCCAGAGGATGGAGTCGTAGATGCCAGATCTCTAAATGCCAAGGGTCTCACGTGTTCTAGTGGTCATACTAGAGATTACAGGAAGACTTAAACACTGCTCTGCTTTCTCTATGGCCGAGGGTTCCTGGGCTTTGTTCATGTGCTGCTCAGGTTATTCCTGTTTTGTACTCTTAGCTAGAATGTTGTGGAACAAATACAAGTGAAAAGTTTTCTGTAGATTTTTGAAGTGCATATTCGTTCATGCTTTAAAAAAAGATTGCCTTTTCAAAGTGATGTTTTTTGCTGTCTTCTTAAACATTTGGGTTTTTATTGCTTTTTTAAGTGAGTAATACATTCCTTGATAAATAAACCAACCTGTCCAGCTCAAAGTGAAACAGTGACAACAGATGGAAGCATGTGTGGGGTTCAGGCCTAACTCCAAGTTACCTGAGCCCAGCGATCACAGGGTACACAGGTGCCAACTCTCCTGTCCTTACCTCACATGGACAGGGTCTTACTAAGCTGCCTAGGCAGGCCTTCAACTTGTGGTCCTTCTGCTTCAGCCTCCCGAATAGTTGGAATATGCAGGCATGGCACCACGTCCAGCTGGGAAGGGCTGGGGTGGAAGGCGAGAGCGTTCTCTACTCAGGTGGTATCCTCTGAAGCCATCCAACCAAAGCAGGCCCTTTTTTTTTTTTTCCATAAGATGGGAGGCAGATGTGACCAGAGTAGAAAGTACTGTCAGGTTACAGGGACAGACTGACTGTAAGGCTCGAAACACCTTAGGAACTGGAGGTGTCTGAGCCGCCTTGTATGTGGGCACCTGATGCAGGTGCCCTCCTGTGTCCAGCTGAGGGAAAGCTGCAAGGAGGGCAGTTGCTGTGAGCAAGCCCTGGGCACTCCATTGGTAAACAGGCCCGCTTCTGGAGTGAATCTTCAGTGGTTATGGAGCACACCCACAGACTAGAGGGGTCTTGCCACTGGCTGCAGTTCTTTATTCAGGGTCTTCATTCAAGCCCAGGCCTTGGAGGCTTCTCTTCCACCATTACTGTGGGCCCTAGCTCCTGATCAACGAAAGCTAGAGCATCCCTGGGGCCTGCCACTTCTTCTCAGTGCCCATATGGTCTGCCAAGAGTGATGCACTTGGCTAGGTTCTGTTGACTTGAACATTGTTTGAGCTTTCTAAAAATATCTGAGTGTAGCATATGGTGACCTCTCTGAGCATCCCTGGATGCCACGCTGTGCGCTCAGGCAGGACATTCACACAGCTCTGTCATCACATTCATGTTGAGGGAATCCCAGCAGAGCTTCCTAAGCGTGGCAAAGGCAGGGACAGCTGGGCAGCTGTGAGTGGCAATGCCATACCCAGGGAGAGCGCTCACTCCCTTTGCTGTGTGAAGTCACGTTGCCCTGAACACCGTCACCCTGGGAGGACTGCTTGTCACGGAATAGCTTTTCTCTGGCCCATGCAAGCCTCATTGGTGGTCAGCCTCTGCCCCTTGACCTCCCTGCACCGTTCCACCTCACACTTCAAAACTGGAAACCAGAAAAAGTAAGGCTTAGTGGGGAGGCACATCTATTCTAATGAGAGATGGCTTCCTTGAGAGATTGGAGGATGTTCCAGAACCTTTAAAGGGAAAGGCTCTGGTGAAGCTGGACTTGAAGAGATTTCCAGCATTCTCAGGCTATGGCGATTCTGTGCCTCATTTCTGCTTTTAATTCTTTGGAATTGGTCCCAGAACTAAACGGGTTTTTAGGGCACTTTTTTGTCTGGAGATGACAGACTTGAGGGGCCTTGCAGGATTGTCGCCTGGCTGGTGTAGGGTGAGTTAGGAATGCTATTTAGCAGGTTGAATCATCACCCTTAAGTTCTTGTCTCCGAATGGTTCTCTGGAAGTCAGGGTAGGAGCTCCATTCCCTACACCACCACCCCCCATAATCCCTAACCCAGGCAGTTAGAGAGCTGAATGATGAAAAAAGCCACACCTGAGTCTCCGCTCTGCCTGGAACCTCCCTTTCCATCTGCCTTTAGGCAGACAAGATTGTGGGATTGTGTGGGTGTAATCTCCCCAGTGTCCCACCCTACCCCTTCAGAGTTGGTGTAGAGCCCAAGTGAGCAGGAGAAAGACACCAGGACAGAAGAGGGCTTTCGGGAGCGTGCAGTTGAGGATCTGTTTTTGAGCCCTGCCCCCCCCCCCCCTTAGAAACATTAGACAAGAGGTTTGTGTTGAGAATTAGGACAGTTTATTGTTTGACCAACATGCTGAGTCTTTTCCACATTTTACACAGTTTAATGTAAAGTCAATATGGCCGCTATGCCTTCTGAGCCCGTAACAGATGGAAAGGCCACCCTCTGTGCTCCTCACAGCAGATCGCTTTAAAGGGAGGGGAGAGGGGAAAGTGAGCTGGGGAGTCAACATACACCACAAGATGTAGGCTGGCCTTCGACGCTGTGGAGATTTCCCACCTCATGAAGGAAACAGCCAAAGCCCCACTGCCAGGTTTTGTTGATAAACCATACCCTAATGGGAAGGTCTGGAGTCCAGGGAGGCTGCACACTGAGGTCTCAAGACTCGGGAATACCAAAATAGTTGATGTCAAGCAGAAATTCAAAGGGTGCCCTGATGTCTGTGGTCACCCCAGATGATCTAAGTAGACTTGGGGACCCCAAATAATATCTGTATTTTCTCCTATCTCACTGAGATACACTGGGAAGAATCTTACATCCTAACCACAAAGCAGAGATGGCCTGAGGGACACACACAGGTTGGTGATGGATAAAGAATGGCAACACCTTGGTTCAGATCATCCTGACTTGCTGGGTGATCAAGTCACCCTCTTGGTCTTATTCTCCGCCTGCAGAACAGGAAGGGTTATGGGATCTCTGCCTTATGCTGCTGTGGCAAGGTGACGGTGCCTCACATTCTTTGGGGAGAGGTAGTTTGGAAACTAGCACACAACACTCTAGTCAGTGCACACACATACATCTGTTCAGCTGCCCCTCACATGGCTCTGACTATTTGCAGTCCTCAGTGACCTGGTCTCCGGTCCTGACATCCTCACCTGCTTTCATCTGTGAAGGAATGAGGCTGCTCTATCTGTAGGACACCAAAGCCAGCGGTGGCATTCCTTTGTCACATCTGTTACTTGAAGATAGGGGCTCCTGGCACTGGTTAGCCACTGGATAATAGAGACGCTGCACCCTAGATATGTCTGCACTTGGCTACCACTTTCAATTCTTGTTTCTGTTTCCTGAGACACTAGAACTTACCTATCCATTGCTTTCCTTGGGCCTGGGAACACTGCAGTATGGTGACAGAAACAGTGGGGATAGTGATGGCAGAAGGCCTCTAGCCACCAAGCAGATTTTAACCTGGGATCACACAACTGCACACAGTGCTCCAGATACTGAGGTCCCGCCTTCCTGCTGGTGCATACGTGCCTTTGTAAATAAGCCATCTGCTTTTTTTGATCTTGACTTTTCTGATGCCTTGTTTTGGTGTGGAATAGGCGCTTTACTGACAACTTTTCTTTGAGTCCCCTAAAGAGAAAGTGGGCTAAAAGAAGAGGCTCCTGCCCAAATGCCAGGTCAGCTCTAGGCTTTGGGGAGAGGAGCTGATGACTAAACTGAGATCATGTCCTAAAAGGAACCCTAGGCTTCGTCCTCTGCTAACCAGTGTTGATTCAGCAAAGATGTGGAGTCTCACTGCGGATTTCAAAGCAAGTTCATGACATCATCTTCAAGAGGACCTGGCCATTTATTGTTAAACCTTAATTCTGAGACAAGATCCTCCCTCAAGCAAATGGATAGTAATGGCACCGACTCAAGATGATAGCCAAGGAGCCAACCCATTTCTGTGAAAGAGGTCTGGTTACCATTACAGACCCTAGGGAGAGCAGGGTGGCATCAGGTTGAGAATGACTGGGTCATGGAATGGCAAGGCCCACTGGGGTGGGAGGATGAGAAGGGACAATTGCCCTTACCTTCAGAGGCCACAGGCTCAGGGAAAAGCCTGAACTCAAGAGAGGACGTTGTGTGCAGTCTAGGAAAAGCAGGACTCCCTGAGGTCATGTCAATCCAAATGGTATCTGCCATTCTCTATGCCATCTGCTCCTCTGTGTCATGATGGGAAACATCATGGTGCCTTGGATTGTGTGCACATGAGAAGAGAACTGAGTATCTACTTTGTTTTATAGGATATTTTAAGTAAAGCTACCCTTGAGTGCCAAGAAAACTAAAACCCACCATATATTCATTCACCAAGACCCAGTGCAAATCCCTGTCAACGGAGCTGTCCTAGAGGCCCAAAGTGACTGTCCTCACTGCCAGCCAGGCCAGATGCTGTAATGTAGACTCCCATAGATTCTCACAAGGTAAGAAAGCACTCTTCCAACAAGCACCACTTGGGGGTGTGCCCATGGCGGGGAAGTAGGGAAACCTTGGCCCACGCAGGCACGTGCCCCCTGAATGTAAGTACATAGAGAGGTGGTGGAGATATTCCCTTGGGCTATTTTTGCCTGTAGTTTTAACACATCTATGCATTATTTTTATTGATGGCAAGACAATCACAGATTATTTGACAATATTGAATATTATTTCAACACGTCGCAGTACTTTTGAATTTCCAAAACTTTTATCACAATGCAAGTTCCAACTTGAGAGCAGGAAAGACAAGAATATACATTGATCACATGTATCTCTGTGTGAGGATGTGTCTGTGGAAGGTGTATACACAAGTCTATCTATATATATAATTATGTACACACATATAAAAACTAAACACGTGACATTTGAGTTACACTCATACATTGGTCCTTGCCCTCCAGAAGAGGTGCCCACTGGGATCCTGCTTCCTCTTCACCTGAAGATAGATTCCTCTCTTAAGATCAGCTCTTAGGCTGATGGTGTGTGGCAGACCCACTACACAAAAATCAGCCCTGACACCTGCTGACTGCCATTTTGGAGTAGTTTCTGAGAAATTCCAGAATTCCAAAAATACCTTGTTGGAGTTCAGCCTTTGGAGGAATTCACCCTGTACACCTCAGAAGGTCATTTAGCCCATCTAGGACATGTCTATCAGCAGACTGGAGGGAGCCAATGCCAGCTGGGTGGGAGAGGGGTTATTCTGAGTCACCACCGCCCAATACCTGGCATCGTGCAGGCTGGGGGGGCAGTGGTAAGTCTGGGTCAATTTGGAGTGCCAGCCGAGTGAGTTACAAAGAGAAAGTTTTCTTCCAAGACTTTACAGTTTCTCAGGTCTAAGCCATTCTCAGGAATGAGTCAGAATGGTGAGAATGGCTCTCTGGGGGCAGGTCCCAGTACCCTAGGCAGCCTTCTGGAGTCTTTACCTTGATCCTATCCTCAGGTGCCCACAGTGCAGCCACAATATCCACAAAGGTACGTGCACAAAGATTTCAACTGTACCATGCCAGTGGGGTGAAAACATGAAGAAATTGGTTTTTTTTTGTTTTTTTGTTTTTTTAAGAACAACACTCAGCTGTATTAGCAACTGAGGGTCTGAGAACATGTCTCTCTCAAGGTGGTTCTACCAATCGCCTTCCTCACCCAATAACAGATGGACCATCGGCATTCAGTACAGGCCCTATCAGCCTCCCTGACTGTTGGGAGGAGGGCTCCAGGGTGGTACGCCACCCGGAGTCACACACTGAGTTTCTAAGTCAACCCAGCTTTATGTGCTGGTTGACAGGCTGGTTAGAACATTCCAGAACTATACAGGGTGCCCCGGTCTATAAACCGCACCATCTCAGCCCACAGTTGCCAACAGCACCCCGTCCTTCCGATGGCCTCTTGCTTTACTGGTCACTGAGTGGGCACAGAACACACAAGGTTTCCTGTGCCCTTTGCCCCCTTGAGGCTTTTGAGGGTAGGAAAAGGGGAGGCAGAAGCAGTTCCTGGCGGGGGCTGCCTGGCCTCCCTATGGTCCACAGCCTTTCTTTTCAGCTCAGGGCCCTGCTCATGCCCCTCGCTGCCCACAGAAGGCCCGAGCCTCTCTGGAGGCTGTTTGGTTCAACCAATGTTTGATTTAACCATGTGGGGCCTGGTTGCTCTGGGCTGTATGGCCCGGGACTGGAGCCTAATTAAGTTACTCAGTTAATCGTTTTAATTTACTGGGCTGGGGAGGGGAGGAAGGCAGAGGTGTTGGACAGTTCAAAGAGAACAGGAAGGAGGAGGTGTGTGGAAAAGGTTTTCTATAAGTTTACAAATATACAAAACCAAAAAGCACATCTTTCAAATAAAAATGACTACATTTTTATCTGGCAAAAAGTTGTATACACATGATTTAAATTTTTTTTTAATTTTAACAGTTTTTGGCAATCTTAATAAAGTACAATATATTACAACCAAACCAAAAAATAGTCGTTTGAGTAACAGCTGTTAAGAGTGATGTGATCCCTGATGCCCAGCCTCCCTCCCCATCCCACCCTACTCCTAGAGACAGAGAGAAAAGAAAAGTCCTCCCATCTTGATGAACTCATTCCCCACCCCCATAGGAAGCTAACCAATAGGAAGCAACACAACAAGCGAGTAGTGTCGGAGGAAGCCGAGGTCAGGCTCCACATTAGCAGGAACAGCCGCCCTCGCTGGCCGGGGGCTCCTGGGGTTTGTCCAGCTTGATGTCGATCACTGCAGGGGTGCCGGCTAAGGAAGATGACTCTCGCTGAGAGCCCTGCAGGCCCTGTCCATCCAGAGCACAGCTTGTCCTGGGCTGTGACATCACTGGCACACAGGCCAGGAGTCCCTGTCCTACCTATCAGCTCCATCACCAGACAGGCCCGAATGCTCACATGTGAAAGCACAGGAGAGCGCGGCCCTGCCCTGGTGGGCAGCAAGGGCACTGAGCCTGCACGCTTGTCAGAGCAGGTCACTTAGATTCCCAGGTGGCTAATGTGGGAGGCCATACCCACTGGATCTAAACATGGCCCCCTCTCCAGCCCTTTCCTTCGGTGCCCTTAGGGACCGTGGGCCCAAGTAGCACTTATCAGCACCAGAGGAAGAGGTTCAAAACACAACCAGGTTGTTCCTTCCTCTTCTCACCAGGAGGAATAAACCAGAGACTTTCATTATTTAGATCTTCTAATTATGGCTGACCAAGCCCTCGGTACCACAACAGGATCACTCTTCTTGGGCTGGGTTTTAGTGAGGATTTTTTGTTTTGTGTTTTGGTAATGGGGATGGAATCCAGGGGTGCTTTACCACTGAGCCACATCCCCAGCCCTTTCTATATTTCGAGACAGGATCTCACTAAGTTAGAACCTCCCTAAATTGCTGATGCTGGCCTTGAATTGAGATTCCTCCTAGAATTAAAGGTGTGCACCACTGGCACAGGCCCAGATGGGCTCTAGTTCCTGTAGAACTGCAATGGGGGTGGGGGTGGGGCGTGGGGGGATCACAAGTCCTGCTTATCACTCATTGCTAGCATCCTGGGGAGGTTTTTGTGTCCCTTGTTTGAGGACAACAGGAGAGATTCTTATGCTTAAAGTATCATGAAAAGCCATGTGTGTCCTGAAGATCACATTGTTGCTCCTTGGCTGTTAGGAAGCTCAGAATCAATACTGCCACCTCGAACAACTGCTCAGCTGTGACAGGTATTTTAAGTATGCCTTCATCTCCCACTTTCCTGTGTGTGTGTGTGTGTGTGTGGGTGTGTGTGCACACAGTCCTATCTTGTTCCTGTGTACGTATGCAGGTACGTGAACACAGACATACTCTATTCCATGGCAGAATACAAACAAAATGGTCAACAGGTCATAAGCGACCGCCTGCCTTCCACTGCCCGCTTCATCCTCTCCGCCCCCGTCAGGCAGTCCTACTTTTCTGCTCCCTATTGTTTTAACAAACCCACAGCCAAGAAGGCCCTGCTGTTGGGCTTGGGGTATAGCTCAGTGATAAGGTACTTGCCTAGCATGCTCAAGGCCCAGGGTTAGAGCCTCAGTATTGCAGAGAAATAGAATAAAATATAAATAAATTAAAGAAATAAATAAAATCACTTAAAAAAAAAATAAAAAAAAACCAACAACCTAGCCCCTCTGCTGCTCTCTGCCACCTGTGGTTCTGTGGCCTCTGCTGATCCCAGACCCCCTCTGCACTGCTGGCCCAGGCATCAGCCTCACTGGATTCTCCTGATCTCCAGGAGCCCCCTCTGAGCCTACCCAGCCTTTTCTCAGCACGGTGCCTTCCCAAAGCCAGTTCTGGTGTGACGGTTGACGAGTGGCCTCTGGCTCATCCCCTGTCATTGATCCCACAGGCTTGGCAGTCAGATCCTCCCCCTGCAAACCTGACCTCTGCTCCCCTTCCTTCCTGTGCACAGACTGTTTTTTCCCCCATACCCAGACTCCCTCGCCTGCTCCGCCTGGACAAAGTGTCCTCCTCCTTTGTTCAGGGCTCCTGCATTTGTTGCCTCCTCTGAGGAGCTTTTCCAGGTAAAACTGAGCACCTACTCTGTGCTGGGCACTAGGCTAGGCCCCACTAAGGCGCTGGCACACTTCAACATCAGACTTCAGGCCGTGCAGTAAAACATGACTGTCCAGCCAGGGGACAGGGGGCGGAGGAGCCTGGTGCACACCAAGGCCATCTGACCGTAGAGTTATGTTCTTATTCATTCATTTGTTGCTGCTGAGAATGGAACCGAGGGCCTTGCACATCTTAAGCACAAGCCCTGCTGCTGAGCTACATCCCCAGCCCAGAGTTCCATTTTTGAATGACCCAGCTGTGCCACAGTCCTCTTGCACTAGGTTTTCACCCTCATGTCCACTGTGGGTGCCATCCTGTGCATGCCCTCTAACCACGAGATGCCAGTATTATTTTTCTCTTTCCCCCAACTTTCGACAACCAAAAATGTTTAGAAATGTTGCCAAATGTCCTCTGTGGGGAAGCGGGGAATATTTTCGGCTTGAGAACCACTGGATCTAGCTGAAAGGTTGGTCCTAGTTACAGCATTAATTTCTGTCCAATATGAAAGCTACCTGACTGCCATTGAAACATAAACCTTCTCCAGTGCTGCGGGACTCAGAGGGCTTTTGTACACTGCACAGCGGCAGTTCCCAAGTGGACTGCATCAAACATCTCCTGGGAAACTCGCTAAAAATACATCTCCCTGGGCCCCACCTCAGTCGATCCGGGGATGGGCTCAGGGTGTATACTTTGAGCGAGTTCCCTGGGAGAGTCCCAGTGCACAGACACCTGGGGAATGGATTCTACAGACAGGCCCAGAACAGCACTGTTCAGAAGAACGGTTTGCAAGAGTGGACATGTTCTACGTCTGACCGTCCCACATGGCAGCCATCAGCAACCCAGCAACCAAGGCTAGTGAAGTGAGGAACTGAACTTCAAACTGGATCCAACTTTAAATGTGTACAGCCACAGGTGGCATCAGTACTGGCAAGTACAGGTTTAGATCATCTGCCCGAGATTCCACACATACTCTTGTCACTTAATGTCACCTCTTTCTTGTAATGACACATACCAGTGCAATACAGTGCCTGCTGAGTGAAAAGGATGGGCAAGAATGAGTGGACCCGTGTCTAAATGATCCCCAGAAGAGGAAACCCCTTGTGGAAGTTGCCCATAAGCCTCAAGAGGCTTGTTATGTGCCTTCTTGCAGGCAGAGCCCAGAGAGCCCCCCTGTTCCTCTGGCTCAAGTATGGCTCATCACAGACCACATTCAGGGCACACTTCCTCTTCCCTCTGGTCCTTGGGATAGCAATGGGTGGACCCAGACGGCCAGTTACAATCTTGCCCCAACCTGCCGGGCATGTGTCCCCCATTCCAGGTTCTCTAAGGTTGCCACACCTCTCTGTCTGGGGTGTCAGCTATGCTTGTGCTCTGTTTGAGAGTATAAGGATGGCAGGATGCAAGTGTTTGGAATTGGTCCCAGCCATCAACTGACCAAATAGGAGGCCTTGGGCCTGCTCTTCCCTGCTTGGGGTATGACTGTCCTGTCCCCTTAGGACCACTTCATGAGGTGCCCAAGTTACTTTGCAAATGCCAGCCTTATTCAGAAAGAGCCCAGGACCCATACACAGAGACATGCTGTTTGGGCAGAAAGCAGGAGAAGGAGCCTTGCGTATGCAGACCCAGCGAGGGGCTTGAGGCTTAACCACTTTGTGGCCCCTCGGTCCCACTTAGTTGAGAAAGCAGAGGATGAGTGGGGGTGGGCTGCTGGGCAGAAGGGCCAACAGGGCAGCCCTGGGGGAAGCACCCTATCTTGGGTGTGAAGATGAGGCCCAGTAGCCCTTCATGTGGACCTGGAAGCAGCAGACGGGCCCGCCATGCCCTGAGCCAAGTGAGGGTGAGTATGAACTTTGCATATGTCACAAAGCAGAACCTCTGTGTCCTTGCTCTTCATGCTGAATACAGTTCCAACACGACTTCCAAGAACATAGCTCCCAAACACCTGGGTTTGAGCCATCAGTAAACATAAGTGCCAGGCCACCACCCTGGCTGAACCACCTGGTCCCTTTCAGGATCTAGGGGGTCTGCTCTAGGCTGTTCCAGCCCCTTCCTCATATCAGGCCCCAGCCAGAGGGCTCCTAGGCAGAGAGAGGGTGGGACTGTATCTGCTAGAAAAGGATCAGAGACTACATAGTCCTGTGCCATCTGCTTGCTATCTGCCCTGTGTTCTTTCTCCCCAAGGGCCCAGAGGTCACCTGCAGCTGGGTGAGACGGTGACGATGTGCTAATTGGAACCCTGAACTTGGACCCTGGGAGAATGTGAATGAAACACTCACCCTGACCAGTTTGCTGTGGTCTTCAGAGTGGGCAGGACGTGAAGCGGGCTGTCTGCAACCCACTCCTCATTGCATCTCGTCTCCTCCTGCCCTTGGTCCTCTCTCATCCTGCCCCGCAGGTTGCCTTCAGTATGTTCTGGCACGTCACAGGAGCCCCCGCCCGGTGACACCATGGGCTGTGCCCCGAGACACGCAGCCAGCTCTGCTGAGGGCACTGTGAGGTGCCCCAACACGCTTCCTCACCTGGAACTGGAGTCTCACCACAGACAATCAGGTGACACTCCCTTTGGCCACTGGGCATCCTCTGGGTTCGGTGAGGCACATGCTCCCTGGGTCTCAAGACTACTCTGAGAGTCCCTTGAGGAGGCTGGAGGGCCAACTGTCCCTACAGCCTGTCTCAGGCTTCCCCTGGCTGTAGCCTCCCCGCCCCCACCCTGGCACTGGGCTGCATCAGGCAGAGGGGCGTCACCTCTGGTTTCTAGCATCAAGTTATTCATTTCTTTTGTTTCAACCCTCTTCAGCTAGAAGGGGCTCTTTGGCCTCTCTGGCGTCCTTCTCTGACCTGTCACGGGTTTCTACCCTTGAGGACCTATAGGGACGAGTGGAGGATGCTGGGAAGCTGCTTTGGGGAGACACATTCTGTTCTGAAGGGTGCAGGCTGGGACATGAGTGCCCAGTCTCTAGTGGCTAACTTGAACTGGAGCATCTGAGTAGGTGCAAGGAAGGGCTGTCTGTGGGTAATGCCCTCACCTACCAAAGCCACTCTCATCTGATCCTTGAGGGAAGACGTTTTAGAATGGAACAGAACTGGATATGGAGGAAGCAAGCTGGAGTATAAATCCTAACTCCACAACTTACATGCTGTGTGACTTTAGGCAAACCAGGCTACCTCTCTGAGCCTCAATGTCAGCATGTAGGTCTTGGCCCAGGTTCGGGTTGGACTATGTGAGTGGTGTATAACCCTGTTCCATAGAGCAATGGGGAGGTGGGGGCTGTGCAAGCCGGGGCACAGGACATGGAAGGGGCCTCATGTGGGGGACTTGTCCCATGTGGAGTAGCATGAACCCACAGGCTCAGTGTTCGGAAGCCACCTCTGCAGTGGAGAGGCCACCTGTACCCATGAAACGCACGTGGGTGTTCAGATAAAGAAGGAACAGCCACCTCTTCTTGCTCCCCGCCCCTCACCATCATGCTTACACACCCCTTTGAAAGGTCTCCCCACGCCGCTGTGGAAGAAGATGGCATCGACGGCTAGAGCTGGCTAGGGCTCAAAGACCATGGGGCTCAGCCCTGTCCCTGGGCACAGGTGGCCCCAGCAGTCCAGGGAGGCTGCGTGGAGGCCCAGCAAGAGCTTCTCTGCTGCAGGAAAATATTATTTAGAGAAAAATATTATTTAGAGAAAAGGTTTCTCGGGCTCATCTTTTCACTCACTTGTCAAAGGAAAAGGATACTCCCCTCTTTGCTCTTCTCCTGGACATTCTCCATGCCGGGCAGAGCCGACGCCACACGTCGGAAGAGCTGCAGAGACGGGGAGATCAGGGTGAGCCCCGGGGCTGCCCCCACCTACGCTGGGCCAGCAATGAGCTGGGCTCCCACAGTCAGGCCCTGGGTGGGCTTCTGTCCACCGCCCTCCTGGGCACTGGGTGTGGGAAACCAGCTTCCCACTTTCCCTTGAGACAAGTGACCCTCTTCCTTGGGGACCTGTGACCCATGGCTCAGAGGCAGCTCGGCTGGGAGCTAGGGCCTCAGTCACAGTGAGGGTCATGGTGAGTGTGAACACAGCAAGCACTGAGGTCTGTTTGGATGTGTGTGTAGGTGTGGGTGTGATATGCATACTATGTGTGTGTGTGTGCGTGTGTGTGTGTCTATATAAACAAATGAGGGAGTGAATGTGTGGGCTTCTGTGTGTTTTTGTAAGTGTGGGTGTGTGTTGGGTGTTTGTGTGTGCATGTACTGCTTCTGTGTGTGAATGTGTGTGTGTGTGTGTGTGTGAGTGTGTTGGGGCGGGGCTTGGCAGGTGGGAGTGCAGGGGTCTGATGCTTATGTCCTCCCAACCTCAAATGCTGACACCTATTTCCCCATGTGACAGTATTAAGAGGTGGGGCCTTTCCGGAGGTGATCGGTCATGAGGGCAGAGCCTTTACAAATAGCATTAATGCCCTTACAAAAGAGGCCCGAGGGACCGTGCTTGTCCCTTCCATGTGAAGATACAGTTAGAAGGTACCATCTGTGAGGAAACAGGCCCTCACCAGACACTGAATCTGCCACACCTCCATTTTGGACTTGTGGCCCCCAAAACTCTGAGAAAAAAAAATTCTGTTACTTATATAAAGTCACCCACTCTATGGCAGTTTGTTACAGTAGCTCAAACAGGCTAACACGTAAACATTCCCCTTCTTTCCACAAATCCTAGTTGCAGGAACTCAGTGGGCTCTGGGCTGAAAACCACTGCATGAGATCTCAGAAGACAGAGTGAGTCTTATTCAGGTCTCAGGCCAGGCTGGGTGACAAGGTGAGGGCCCAAGTGCGGAAGCCGCTGGTGGGCCCTGCAGGGTGTGGGACCCTGCCTGTAGAGGGCTAGGACAAGTGGGCAAGCCTGGGTCTCCCCTTGTGAGTGTTCTTCATGGCCTTGTGTAGGTAGCCCCACTCTGCCGATTATTAGATGGATGATAGCTTCTGCCAGTGGCCAAGGAGGATGCTCTTGGGGTGGGGGTGGGTCTCTGTGAGCAGATATGTTCTCGTTGAGCGTGCACAGTCTGCACTGCAGGAACTCCTTCCCTGAACCACACAGGGTTTGAAGGGACCTCCTGCTGCCTGGGTTGCAGAGCATTCTGGGAGCAGTGGGGGCATCAATGTCTCCCTGACCCAGAAGGCTGGGCAGCTGCCCCCTTCTCTAAGGTCGGCCTGGCCCTGCCCTCTGCTCCACTGTGCCCATGACTTTTCATCAGGACCCATAAGGAGCAACAGCCTAGGCTCCCCTGTGTGTCCCCAGGGCATGCTTCCTCCTCCAGGGGACACCATGACAGTTCTCACTTTACACCTGTCACGGATGGAGACTGAGAAGGGGGTGGGGATGAACAAAGCCATCTGAGATCCCGGGAGACCTGTGTCCTCCCTCAGGTCATCACAGTGCCCCTCCCACTGTCTCTTCCTGCTCCTCTGGCCCCTCCTCCTCCACTACCACCAGCACTGCCCGCATGGACGGCACTCACTGTATCCAGAAGGCCATCTGTAGCTTGCCTCATGTTCCCAGGCGATGCTGGGGCTGAAGGGCAAAAGGGACACCAGCCAGGTTCCTCAGCATCCCCCGACCCACCGCAGGCGCCCTGCTGCCAAGCCTCTGAGTGCCCCCTCCTCGCCACCTTGCCAAGGCCCCCTGGTCCTGGAAGGCAAGGCTCCCCCCCTTGGCTTGAGCCCAGGCCTCCTCCAGCAGCCTGGTAAAGCCTATGGACGCCCTCCTAAGGTACAAAACCAAGTTCATAGGTTTATAGAGGAGACCATTTGGTACTGAATGAAATAGTTCTAAAATATTTAGGAAGAAACAAATTTGTGACGTAGCGACACTTGTGCTTCCTTGTGAACATATTAAACTGCAGGAACTAGCCGTAGCCCTAATAACTACTACGATGTTCATGTAGCCATGCATGTAAAGTCCAGGACACCTGCCACACTCTGAGGCCATAACAAAACACCCGTGATTCCTGAGGGGGAGAAGGAGTCACAGATTCCTGCTAATGTTACCGAACCTGGTTGCCTGCATTCATCGCTGAAGGACGTGCTACAGTAATTTAGAGGTCAGAGACGGCACAGGTGGGATTATCTCGAGCCCAGGCCTGCCGACTGCTGAATTCTCTCTTGGGCACTCCTTGGGTTCTGTGGATCCAGGGTAAGAGTCGCTGCTCCACGGCTCAGCCCTAACTCCACCTCCTTTCCCTCCACCATGGGCGATGGGCTCCTTGCTCCAAGTCCAAGTTGCCCTCCAAGGTGCTGAGCACTTGATGGATACAAGGCAGGAACCCAAGATGTCTGGCAGCGCTCCTCCCAAGTGAGGTAAGAGGCTAGGAACCCTGGCTTCCTGCAGTCACCTGGGAGTCAGTGCTGGACACTGTACAGCCTGCTACAGGGGCCCAAGACTGGTCACTGCTCTGGTGGCTGGTGACCGGCAGTATCCAAATGGCTCCTGAAGTGAGTGCTCTGTCCCCCTCACATGCTCTACTCCACAGGAAGTCAGCTTCCTCCCCCACTGCACAGGTTTATGGGTGTTTTGTTGGTGACCTTGATCCCTGGACCAGGCTCTAAGGGCAGGGCAGTCGCAACCTGAGGCTCAGCACCCCCAGAAGCCCCGGGTGGGCCTCCTGGCCAGCTGTGCTGGGGCCGGCACACGTGTGTCCTCACCTGCTTCACGTTGTAGCCAGTCTTTGCACTGGTCTCGATGAACATGACACTCAGTTCTTTGGCGCGCTGCTCCCCTTCCTCGATGGTTATCTGCCTGGAGAAGAGGGGATGAGGGGAAAATCAGTTCCATAGAGGAGCGGCCCTTGGCAGAACCAGAGGAACCTGGGCTGGGAGGGATCACCTGGCAGGGCAAAGGGAGCTACCAGGGCCCTTGGTGAGCAGAAGACAGGCTACGAGCACAGGGGCCCGTCCAAGGACCAAGCCAATCCCAGTCTCTCCAGGGTGAAGAGGGCCCAGGGCACAGAGCACACCAGCCCCTTTCCCTGCTCCTTCCATGGTGTCTTCTGAGCTCAGGAGCAGGCCTATCACCCACCGGCCTTTCCCAACTCTCACTAGTTCAAGAGCCTGTTTGTGAAGAGCTTCCAGCTACAAGCTGCCCTGGGTGACATCATCAGCCCCCATTTCCAAATGCAAATGCCAAGGTTGAAAGTGGCTCCCCCAAGGCCACAGAGCTTCATAGCAAAGGAGCAAGCATTAGAGCCCATTTTCCCCATGTGACACAGGACTCCAGGAAGGCACACACTGGTCACATTGCAAGAGGCCCAGGCACCTTGCTGGAGTCTATGACCTGTGGCTTTATCTGTCCGGGCTGGGGTCAGGTACAATAAGTGGACAAATGTGTGTAAAGGACACCTAAGTCAGCCGGCATACTGGAGGGCACGGAGACACCTCTGCCACAGAAGCGTCTCCCCAGACCACACACAGCAAGCCAGGCCAAGCAGGCTGGGGATTAGGCTTGTTCTGCCGACAGGCTGCAGGCTCACGTCTAGAGCAGGGTGTTCACACCCTACGCACCAGTGCAGGCTTCTCACAGCGGCAGACCTACACAGTATGAGCAGAAGCTCCTGGGACCAGGGGACTGTGCTGTGACCATGACGGGGGCCCAGACCACACACTGCTGGGCGATGCACACGGCTCAGTGCCTGCCCTGCTGGGCAGTGGAAGATGGCAGCTTCAGAAATCACACACCCATGGTTGGAAAGGGTACTTCCAAGTGTGCCTAAAACTCCTGGGCCCAGGGACAGGTCAGAAGGACACACTTGCCATCCACGCATCCCCGAGTTCCTGGTCCAGAGCAGTTACCCAGGAGCAAAGGGCAGGCCTGTCTCGCCAGCCTCTGCACCTCTGTGCCCCGGTACCCACCTCTTGTCAGCCAGGTCCGTCTTGTTGCCCACCAGCATGATGATCACGTCACTGCCCCTCTCTGTCCTGACGTCATCGATCCACTTAGAGGTCTGTTGGAAGGAGTTGAGGTCTGGAGGCAGAAAGGGGGACAGTGGAGATGAGAGCCAGCCCTCAGAGAGGCCACGAGTGGCTTAGACACCTATGAAGAGGGAAAGCACAGCCCACGCAGACCAGTCCACTGGGAACTGAGCCCTGGGGAGCCCCTTGAACGGCTCAGCCACCCTTTTGGGAGAGGAGTGGCCTTACCTAGAAAGCCACCGTCTCGAGTTCCACATGAAATAATGCCTTTAGAAGCCATCATGAGACCTGACTTTGGGGTTCCGAATAAAATGTGAGAAATGGGTGCACGGACTCCACTGAGCCTGGAAGCAGGGAGGGGCTGGAGGCGGACACTCAGCCCCCAGGGAAGGAGCGCCCTACAGAGTGGCCTCCCCAGAGGGAGCGTAGGGCAGCTTGGGAGAGGACAGGCGGGTGAGGAGAACCCCAGACTCTGCAGGCAAAGGGGCTAGGAAGGCAACCCAGGGCCAGGAGCACTCGGTCAGCCAGAGAGCAGGGCTGTTTCTGGGCAGCCTGGTCTCTCTCAGCAGACGTGACCGTCCTCATGGGGAGGTCACTCCCAGGTCACTGGGTGGTGTCTGCCACTCGGCAGTCCACATCCCTGGTGCAGGGGAGGCAGCCTGGCCTGGCAAGCCCCCATTCCCTGCAGCCTGGTCTCCCTTCTGCTGGGGATCAGGCCATGTGGGCCCAGGTCCTCGGAGACCCAGCTCCTACCTGCACTCAGGGAAAGTGGTGGGTGGACTAAGGGACAGGCAGAGCTGGGGCACATGTGTGACTTCCCACCTTAAGCATAATCACGACCATGGGCTTCCATTTTACAGGCCCAGGCAGCTCTGGCTCTATGTCAGCCCCCACTGCAGTCCCCGACTCTCTCTCAGCGTTGTGCAGGCCTTGAGAATGCCTGCTTGGGACACAGAGCACAATGGGTGAGCAGGGCTGCCAGCCCCGGGGTTCCCAAGGCTCCTTGGCTGCCCTGTGAGGTGCTGAGACCCCAGTGACAGATCCTGCCTGCTGGGTCTGGGTTGGCACAGGCCATTGTCTTCTCCCACCCTGATGAACATACCCAGACGTCATCCAGGGCAAGGAAGGGTAAGAGGGGCTTGGGGCAGGGCCAGCCTCGTGAGCATCTGCTCCCCAGACCCCCAGGACCCTGCTCCAAGCAGGACTAACCAGCCCAGTCCAGGTCTGTCACAGATGTGTGGGGAACAGTGGAAAGCAACTCACACCCAACCCGGGCCTCTGCCTTCCCGCATTCAGGGCTCAAGCACAGGTGTGTGTACATGCACACACACCTGGCCGGCGAGGGTCACTCCCGGGCCCTGGGTCCTGCGAGAGCCTCCCTCCACGGAGCATAGACCTGCACTCACTTGTGATGTCGTACACCACCACGGCCACAGTGGAGTCCCGGATGTAGCTGGGGATCAGGCTGCGGAACCGCTCCTGGCCGGCTGTGTCCCAGAGCTGCAGTCGCACCTGCACGGAGAGGGGCACAGGGGTGAGGGGGCCAGCGAGGTCCTTGACCAGCCTGGGGCCCAGGCTCTGTGATTCTGGCACTGCCAGGCTCGTGCCGCCAGGCTTGGCACAGGCTCTGGGGTCCCAGGAGATCAGCCCACGGAAACCTTCCTGTCCTCCCAGATTTAAAATCAGGTGCTCACCGTGCGGTCCTCCAAGTACATGGTTTTTGACAAGAAGTCGATCCCGATGGTTGCCTGTTAGAAAAGCATGGAAAGGTCAAGACAGAAAGGTCTCCAGCAACAAAGCAAAGGTGCAGGGTCCCAGGCAATGGCACAACAGATAGAGGGAGGCACTGCCAACCATCCAGGAAAGTCTCCGCCCACTGGCTCTTTTCTCCTCAAGCCAACAAAATGAGAGCTGATAGTTACCAGCACCCCGTGTCACACCTGTGCCTCTCCTATCCTGGCACCTGTAAGGGGCAGCCAGCCTTGCAACCAGAGAGCCAGGACCTGCCACTCCCTTGCTGTGTGGCCTTGTGCAGGCCACCAACCCACTCTGGCCCCACCTGCACCCAGTACCCATGAGTAGGAGCTAAGGGACGCGGTCAGTGTGAAACGGAGATATCATTGCTGCGTAATTAATAATGACAAAGACTCAGACACGGCCTGGACATCCGGCTCCTTGACTAAGGACAGGGATTAGAATCATAGGCAGCCATTAAAAATCATGTTCTTGAAAAATCCTTAAGGATCTGGGGAAGCAAATTATCGAGTGAGAAGCCGCACACTATAAAACATCGTGTGTAGTGTGATCCCAATTCGATTAACTGAAGTGGATACATGAATATTTTTCATGTTTTCTCAGACACTGAAGTAAATCGGATGCACTTCATACCAGTGTCTATATAAGAACATTATGGGCATCTTTTGTGATTCCTTCATTATGTATTTTTCTTTTTTTGGACTGGGGATTGAACCCAGGGGTGCTTAACCACTGAGCCACATCCCCAGCCCTTTTTTATATTTTATTTAGAGACAGGGTCTTGCTGAGTTGCTGAGGCTGGCTTTGAACTTGTGATCCTCCTGCCTTAGCCTCCCAAGCCTCTGGGATTAAAGGTGTGTGTGCCACCATGCCTGGCTATTTTTCTGTTTTCTACAAAAAGTTCTGAAATTTAAAACAAAGTCTTCTGAAATAAAAATAAGTTTAAGAAATGTGTTTCACTGCATGGAAAACTATGCAGTGACTACTGACTATGAAAAACAGAACCAAGGGGAACCTGAGGCCCGAAGGCTGATGGCATGGGTGTGCACCAGTGCGCGTGAGCAGGTGTGCACGATGCCACCCCAAACTCAGTCCACAAAGCACGGAAGGCTGCTGGAACACCAAGGTACAGAGTACTGCTCAACCCTCTAGAACAGATGACTCTGGAACATGGGGACAGGCACACACCACAGACACAGCCTCGCCCCATCCCTTATTTGAGGATAAAAGGACAGGCCAGGGAAGTTAAAGCATGTGTCTGTGGGACCATGCCAATCAGCGGCAGGGCTGTGAGCCCAGTGATGAACCCTGGCAACACTGGGCTCTTCCAGCATTGTGTCCTGCCTGGCATGGTCACTGGGGGCAAGCCTGACCCACGAGAGCTTGTGGATGTGGGGGTCACACACTTTCATGGGGTGTGATGGTAGATGTTACTCAGGAATCTTTGTCTTCTCCTACCCTTAAGGAGGAATGTGCAGAGCAAGTAGGAATCTCTCAACTCACCAGTGCTCAGGGGGCTCCCAGGAGTGCCAAGCTCCTCTGCAGAGTGACTCTTAATCCAAACCAGGGGCCTGGGCTCAGGACTGAGGCGGAGGCTGCCAGCTATCACCCAGATGTGTGGGGGCGACTCGAGGCTGCCCCACACAAGATTCCTTTGCTGCTGGGTGGCTAAGATGTGGTCAAAGAATGTGAAGGTCATGTACATATCACTGGGGGGGGCTCCTCTGTGGGTGGCATGCCCGCAGCCACCCCCTTTTCTCTCCCATTGCTTGGAACGCAATCAGGTGGTGAGGGGTCCTCATGGCCCATCCAGGTGAGGATGACAGAGGAGAAATGACAGACCCACCGAGCCTGACTCCCTGGCCCTAGGAACTGCCTCGGCAGCACTGGACTCCTTACACCCAGATTGTTGTGTTACAGAGACTCTGTCTTTTGTTTAGGCCACCATCATTTAGGGTTTCTGTGGACACAGACCACCGTACCCTAACCAACAGAGCAATGAACCATGAAGAAGCAGATCCCCAAATGCCAGGTGGTGACGTTGCTGATGATAACTGTAACAATGACAAACCTGTTTTACCTCAAATATGCACAAGCTACTTTTTTCTTCCAGGGAGGGTAGAGAAATCGCCAGATGACATGATGAGGCATTGGAACCCAGGAAAACTCAGCTCAGTGGCCCCCATAATTATCAACACCAGGTACTGGATGAACACCCACGTACCATTATCTCTATTACACCTCCCCATGACCTGGCCAAGAGGTGGCAATGAGGAAACCATGGCTGGAAGAGATCAGCTTCCTATCTGCCCCTCCTTTTAGTCCAGCTTCTAAGTTGCTGCATTAGAGCAACCTCTGGTCCCTTAACTGTCCACTTTCTCACACCTGTTTGGGCCACATTCTCCGCCCAACCAGTCACTGAGCCACTGTGGGTCTTCCTGCATCTTCGCAGACAGGTAACACAGTGTAGGTATTGTCTCTGGGTACAACTGAGACACCAGCTCTGTTTGACACCACCTTCCTAAGTTCTGCTTTCAATGATGGCTGAGTAGCTTGTATCTAACGACTCTAATCTCTGGTAAAATGCAAGAAATAAACAATTTCCAAGCAATAAAGAGCAATTGAAAAATAGATAGGCAATGGGGGAGTTTCCATCTCTGAAGGAACAAGGTAGATCCTACATTTCAGCAGTTTTCCTGCTTTAGAAACTACCCAGTCCCAGAAAGTCAAAGAGGTTTGGTGGATACCTGAGGCTTCTCCTAGGAACCCCAGAAGAGCTGGCTTTGGAAGGAGGGCCATGATCTCAGGACTGAGTATTACACCAGAGGACTAAGGGAAAAACAGAAAGAGATCTATCTTTGCAAAGTCTCAACATGGTAAGTACCTACCCCCTGAAAAAGATTAGCTTAATTAATCCCCTCATTAATTGCCTATTCAAATAGACCTGAATATTCTTTAAAGGAAGATACTAGAATTCCAGAGTCTTCACAATGTACTATTCATTATTAAAAAAAAAAAAAGATAACATGATAAGAATAAAAAGAGGGTTAGACATGTGGAGAAGCAGGAAGTTCAAGTCATAATCAAAATGGAAAAAAAAAAACCTCAACAGAAGCAGACTCCTAGATGACCAAATGTTGGATTAGCAGGCCAGGACCTTGAAAAATAATGCTTACAAATAAGTATAAAAATCCTTTTAAAAGGGCTGGGGTTGTGGCTGAGTGGTAGAGCGCACACCTAGCATGTGCGAGGCCCTGGGTTCGATCCCCAACACCACATAAAAATAAATAAATAAATAAAATAAAGGTATTGTGTCCAACTACAACTAAAAAATATTTTGAAAAATCCTTTTAAAAAATGGATATGAGGGGTGACTTTCAAGAGATATATGTTAACTTTAAACCAAACAGGACATGAGCAGGGAAAGCCAGAGGCAAGAGACTACTTTCTATTTTGCCTCCTAATGTCTTCGAGGGTCCCCTTCTCTCCCTCTGCACCAGGACTGCCTTCACGTAAACCTTGAACCAACCTCTTTTACCTGAATCACTTTGCTGCCTGACTGGCCTCTTGGATTGCGAACTTTTCTCTTGTGACTATTGTTCATAGAGCAACCAGTGTGTTTTTCTGAAATACACAGCCGACCACATCGCTCCCTGCTGGTCCCTAGGAAATAATCCAAACCTTTGGGTTTGGCCTACAAAGCTGTTCGGGGCTTGCCATTGCTGCTTGGCTTTCGATGGCCTCAACACCCAGCTTGACTTTGTAACGATACTGTTCGGAACTTCCAAGTCACTCCGTTTACCTTTTCTAGTGCCATTCTCTTCTCGGGATACTCTTCCACCTGGTTAATAGGTATTCAGGATTTGAGATCTAGCTTCTCTGAAAGTCACTTTCCAAATCCTCAGGTTGCTTCCAAGGTCCCTCATTTAACTATCCTGACTGAATTGGGAAGATCTCATCCTGGCCAATCTCTGCCTCTGGCCAGCCAGTCAGCAATTCTCAGCCTGCAGCCAATCACATCAGGAGCTGGATAAACATGTAGATTCCTGAGCCCCATTCAGGCAGACACCATCCCAAGCTCTGGGTGTCTGCTTGAGTCTGGAATCAGAATCCCAGTGAGTTCTCAGACAACTCATTTGCAATAAATGTGGCATCTGGCAGCAGCAGGTTCCCTGCAGAGGGGCATAAAGATTCTGGTCCTAGATGAAGAAGCCAGGCTCACTCAGAACCAAGGCCGCACAGTCCGCGGTTGCCAAAGCTGGGAGGTGAATCCACATCTCCCTAACTGCACAGTCCCTGCTGCTGACTTTTCAGCTATTCTCTCTCTCTCTCCCCTTCTCTCTATCTCTCTCTCTCTGCTTCCTGAAATCCCTTCAGTTTCTGAAACTGTCACTCCGTTTGCCTTTGGGTCACATCCTGTCTGGCTCCCTGTTGTCCAAACTTGATGGTCATTAGCCATAATAGCTCAGCAGAGCCCACTTAAGAGGAAGTTAATTTGCATTTTAGCAGGAAAAAAAAACAAAGTCAGCTCTCTAAGGACAGAATAGAAGGAACTTAAAAAAAAAAGGGGGGGGGGATTTGGCTGGCTCTCCATTACCAGAGCATTTCTAGCTCCTTCCAGCATCTGTTTTCCCAGACACAAGACACAAGCAGCTGGCTCCACATGGCTGCCAGCTGGGGCCCATCTCTCCCAGAAAGGTCAGATCTGCAGGGAGAAGGTGGACATGGTTTTTCCTGGGCACCTCCTTTGCAGCAGGCAGATGAGAAATTCATACCCAGTCACTTATGACTTCTGGTGCCTATTGTGTGCCGCCCACCAGGAGCTTCCGACTTCGTGGAGAAGCTGATACAGAGGGTTGTGGCTGCCAGATAGAGAGCTTCTAGGGGTGCAGGACTGGAAGACTTTGCTTCTGGTAGAGTTCTTGAGGAATGATGGGGCAAATAAGCAAGTGCTAAATATGCAGATATGCATATAAGCTTTCCACCAGGGGAG